TTGGTAATAAGTAGGCCTTTGCATCTTTTAACCTCTGGTGTTACTACTACACCGTAGCCTATGGTACCTGTTTTCTGGCCATTTGAATATAACTGTTTTGGTTTCACCAGCAAAATCAGATTACATTTTTCTTTTCTTTCAATTTTTCTTAGAAATTGCTTGATTTGTTGGTAGATAAAAGCAACAATCTGGCAGTTGATCAGCTTGAGAGATTATATTGTCTTCTTAGTCAATGCATCTACCGTCATCGTAAAGATTATGACAAGTCACAACTTGTAGAGGTAAGGATAAATGTGTGTTTTTGTCCCAAAGAAAAGAAAGTTATTTTGCCTAAATTTGTATCTTCTGCCAAGTGACCGAAGAGTGTTTTGAAGATTGAAAATTAGAAGAATCATTAAGAGTGTAGTTTGAAGTTTCTGTACCATTTTATCTCAGGAAAGAAGCAATCTGGGGGTTCCTTGGCTATCAAAACACAGATATCCATGCTTCTAGGTTGGCACATACACAGAATAGTATGCCACAGTTCTCTCTTCCCATGCTTGTTACTGATACTCCAACTGAGTTTATTGCTTGTGGTTATTGGATGTGAGCATGGCCCCAGAATGGTTGTCACTGCTTCCTAGGCAGCCACTGGTGATTAAAGGGGTTGCCATGGGCAGTGAGACCTGTTTACCACCCCATTAATGGCTGGGAGAGAACTCAAAAGTCATCTTATTTAATCAAATCTAGTCTTATAAATTCGCTACATGGAGTAGTAGTTGTCCTTTTGCTTGGATTCTTGTGGAGAGGAAGCATTACCTTTCTGGACAACTCTGGACCATAGGGAAGTTTTTCCCTTATAAATGGGAGTTTATATGTCTGTTCATATAATTTACATTATTAAGCCACACCTCTGCTTTTTGAGATTACCTGAGCAAGTATAATTCCACATCTACTAAAAAGCTAAAGGACTTAATTAGATCTTTCATCAATTTGTCTGTTTGTCTAGTATTTTATTATTTATTGAGTACCTTCAATGCCAGCTACTGTGTTAGGCATTTGGGATTCAAAAAATGAATAAGACAAAGTCCCTACTCTCACGCAACTTTTCTCATGTATTCAAGACTTGTTTATAGAGGGTATAGTTATTTTTCATGTGTGCTAAGGAGTATGGGATTTGCATCAAAGCAAGAGAACATTTAGAAATTACTTTGTAATCACATTATTATAAGTTAAATTTTTACAAAGCTGTAATAAGTTGTTATAATACATAGAAATAGCACAATGAGAAAATAAAACCATTACCCATATTCACCATCTAGAGGAAATTAGTTAATGTTAATCTTTTTAAAATGTCTTTCAATCTTTTAAAATGTCTAGATTATAATGTGTATAAGTGTGTGAATAAATACTTAAAAATTGGGGTCATTTTATATTTTGTAACTTGCTTTTTTCCTACTCAGCAATATATGATAAAATCTTTAGCAGAAGTGATTCTGATTGATCATATAAGAACCTTCTTGGTCAGATCATAGTCTGTTAATATAGCCTGTTATTCTATAGAGACATGAAATAGAATTTCTTTGGAGCTATTTAAAGGGAATAAAGAAGATCAGATGTCTTAGATATATTTGACATTTTTCCATCTGAATGAAATGTGTGGGGTAGTTCTTTATTTTAGCCCTTCCTTACTCATTATATTCCCCTAATTCCCAAAGCAAAATAAATGCATTCACTGTAGGGAAGATAATGCCAAAAAGTAGAATGTACCCTGTTCCTGTTTCTATTTGCTCCAACCAGAGCTGAGAAGAAAAAAGCCAGAATGAGTGTCTGCCATTGCCCTACACCAGGAAAGTCACTCACTGAGTGGCTGCCATCACCATATACCAGGAGAGTCACTCACTGAGTGGCTCCCATCACCCTACACCAGGAAAGTCACTCACTGAGTGGCTGCCATCACCATACACCAGGCAAGTCACTCGCTGAGTGGGTCCCATCACCCTACACCAGGAAAGTCACTCACTGAGTGGCTCCCATAACCCTACACCAGGAAAGTCACTCACTGAGTGGCTGCCATCGCCCTACACCAGGAAAGTCACTCACTGAGTGGCTCCCATC